AGTGAGGGCAACCTCTCAGAGGAGCCCGAGATGGAGAGTCTCTTCCCGGCCTTGGCTTCTCTGGCCGTGAGCACAGCTGCCAACAACGAGGCGTCCCCCGTGTCATCCAGCGGGGTCACCTACTCCGTAAGTGTCTAGAATTCTCCACTCAGTTTCCTACAGCTGCAGTAGGGAGGGAGTGCACCCCAAACCTCAGTTTCCAGACAACCCTGGTTCATTACATTTTCCCCATCACAGAGAGTTCACGGTGGAAACCCATTTGGGGGAAATGATGATAAAATACTTAAAGAACACAGCCTTAGCCGTCAAACAGTCCTGAGTTTAGAGTGACCAGTTAAACAGGTCCCTTCATCTTTCTGAGCCTCAGTTTCCCTGTCTGTCTTCCTGGGTTGTTTTCAAAATCACTGAGTCAGGTCCTCTGTGCCTACCACATCGTGAGCACTCCATCAATCGATAGCGGCCTTGATGATGAGCACCTTGACTTATGCGCAGGTCCAATATCTTCTAAATCTTTGAGTCTGGCTCTTTGGAGTCCTGCCTCCATGTGGAAAGTCTCACTAGACTCCTTACCTTGAGGGTGGGGGAACCACAGCACCATTAAATCCAAGCTTAAATGTTCCCGTGTTGGCAGCGTCCCTCAAGCGAAAGCCAGCTTTGGTATTTTCTTGCCTTTTTGGATTAATTTTGGCCTTTAGATGTTCTTTTGTTTTCTTGCCATATCATTGAGCCATGTCATCAGGATTTTGGGGTCAAGGCATCAGGTCCAGCCTATTTCCAGAATCGGACTTCAGTTCTTCCACTTATCCAGTCTTCGGCAGAGAGGGACACACTTCCAGCTACAGTTACAACTCTCTTTTAGTTTCTTCATCTATAAAATGGGAGTAATACATCCATGCACCTCAGGATTGCTTTGTGTTATCAAAGAAAAAAATTAAAAGAATATTCCTCATACAAAGTGAAGGGGATTTCTTAGAAAACTAACAACAAAAACCAAAACAAACCCTCAACTGGGCCAGGTAGAGGATGTCCTTACAGTGATGACAGGAGAGGGGAAGGGGAGGGGTGAGAATCTCTAAAATTAGCCTCTGAAAGGAGTTGGGGTGTAATTGTTTCCTTCCCCTCCTGTGGGCCGGCAGCCGGAGCTGCTGGACCTGTACACAGTGAACCTGCACCGCATCGAGAAGGACGTGCAGAGGTGCGACCGCAACTACTGGTACTTCACGCCCGCCAACCTGGAGAAGCTGCGCAACATCATGTGCAGGTGGCTGGGGCCGGGGCGGGGCTGCATCTGTAGGGGATCAGATCGGATGGGGAGGGTAGAAGGTGGACTGCGGAGAGCCCAGCTAGAACTGCAGCCTCTGCAGCTGGCACCGTGCCCACCAGATCTTATTCCAGCCCACACTGACACTATAACAGTCATAGTAGTGTTAATAATAGAGGACATTTATTAAGCATGTACTGTATACCAGGCTCTGTCCTGAGCCCTTCACCAACATCATCTCTCTTAATCCTCACAACAAGCCTCTGAGGTAAGTATTATCCCCCTTTATAGGTGAGCGGGAACTCATCCCCACATCTCTGGGGCTCTGGAATCTGTGCTGTATTTTATTAAGCCAAGACCTGGGGCTACTTACTACTTTTCATTAAAAGTTATTTTTATTTCTAAAAGTATGGAAGTAACCCAGGCTGATTAAAAACCTAAATCAACCAAGGAAATCAGTTCATAGATATAAAGAGAAACTTCTCCCATATCCAGCCATCAATACCACTCACCAGAAGAAGTAAGTACTGCTAATATGTTAGGGAATATTCCTCTAAAGCTATATATATAGCATAGATAGTATATTATATGACATATAGTAACATCATGTTTTATAGTGTAAAAAATTTTTTACCTACATGGAATTATACTACAAACTTTCTCTACAACTTGATTTTTGCACTCAGTAATACATCCTGGACTTCTTTTCATGCTTCTCTAACTTGGTTTGGCAAACTACTATGCCCACAGGCCAGCTCCAGCCCATCACTTGTTTCTGTAAATAAAGCTTTATTAGAACCCAGCCATGCCTCTTTGTTTGCATAGTGCTGTGACTGCTTCTGCAGAGTTGAGCAGTTGACAAGAGAAGATGTGGCCTTCAAAGCTGAAAATAATTGGTGTCTAGACCTCTCAGAAAAGGTTTACTAATCCCCGCTCTAGCACATTCTTATTAATAAGCACCACTGCTTAACTATTCTCTATTACTGTCCCCCAAGCAACCAAAATTTAGTCTAGGAGGTACAAATATAATGTAACATACTAATGTCACATTAAAATGAAAAACTACTGGTGGAGAAGGAAGGATAGACTGATTTTTGCCAGGTTATGGCATTGGGAAAAATCATGGAAGACACCACATAGGTGGTGACAATCGAGATGGATTTTGACAAAATTAGGAAAAACTGAAGAAACCATTTGGCCTACAGGTTAGGAGCACATACCCTGAGATTGCCTGGGTTCAAATCCTGCCTCTGTCCTTTATAATCAGGCATATGACTCTGTGTGTGTCACTTATCTCTGCCTATCTCCATTTGTGAAATGGGATAATAATAGTTCCTTTTTTGTATTATTCTGAAAATTAAATGATGCAATATATGTGTATAGTAGGCTGAGTAAACAGTAAATGCTCAGTAAATATTCAATACTTTTAAGTGGCAGATGGGAATTTAAGACAGAGGGAACTGTGGAAGCACAGGGGCATGAGCGTGTGCTTTATCTGTGCAAGTTAAATAGTTCCATGTGCCCAGAGAGGAAGAAATACTGGGACGGATGGGTGAGACTGTGAATATGGAAGGGAAGGGACTGTAAGTGCCTTGGGCCCCCATTTAAGGGCTTGGATATTGTCTTGTTACACAGTGGAAGACTGTGGCGGTTTTGAGCACTCAGTGACCTTGAGCTGGGCTTTGGGAAGGTCATCCTGGTGCTGAGCATGTGATGTTTGAAGAGAGTGAGATTGGGGATGGGGATGCAGGCAGGAGGTTGAGGGCGTGGTCCAGGTGAGGGGTGGGGAGCTGGACCACAGAGGAGGCAAGGGAAGAATGGGTTGGAGAGGCAGGTTGTGGGTGTCCACACTGAGCCCCTGTGTCTCTGTCGTAGCTACATCTGGCAGCACATTGAGATCGGCTATGTCCAGGGCATGTGTGACCTCCTGGCTCCACTGCTGGTCATTCTGGATGATGGTGAGTGTGTTCTCCTGCCAAGGGCTGGGGGTGCAGTTTCATTCCTACTGCAGGGGGGCGGGGATGGGCGGTGAACTTCACTTTGTGTCAGGACAGGTGCTGAGAAGGCCTATCTGGTGAACACATCAGGGTCCTCATGAAATAAAAAGTCCTCTGTTCCATGATGGCCAGTTCTGAATGCCAAGTGCCCGCCGCCCAGCCAGGGCGTTGCTAGCCACTGATGGTACAAACAGGAATGGGAATTAAAGGAAAAACCCAGGCCCAGCTTAGAATGTCACGTGACCTATGCGGTCTTTCTCCCAGTAACCCATAATCGCAGTCTTATCATGATAAACACATCAGACAGACTCCAGTAGAGAGGCATTCTAGAAAATACCTGACAAGTACTCTTCAAAACTCTCAAGGTCATAAGAAACAAGGAAAGCCTGAGAAACTTTCATAGCCAAGCGGAACCTAAGGAGACATGACAAATATGTCTACCCCAGATGGGTTCTTGGAACGGAAGAGGGGCATTAGGTTAAAAACTATGGTCTTTAGTAAATAATATATTATCAGTGGGCCATCAATGATAACAAAGGTACCATATTGGATATAAGATATTCGTAATAGGGGAAACTGGGTGTGGAGGTATATGGAAATTTTCTCTTCTCTGTTCTCAGTTCTGTACATCTAAACTGTTTTAAAAAATAGTCTAAAAAATGAATGTGATCCTACTATGCCTTGGGAAACCTCATAACTCTCCCCAAAATTACTAGGTGTTAAGAGAAAAAAGGTACCCCTTTTAAATAAGTTTTTAAAACACTGGGTTGAACAATATGCAACAGATTTCTTTATTGTAGGACTTCTCAGAGCTTTTTCTTTTCTTTCTTTTTTTTTAACGGTACAAATGGCATTTAGTTGCAACAGGAAGTGGAAAAGGAGGGGATATGACAGCTCCAGATCCTGTGGCGGCTTCACACTCCGTGGCCGTCCTCGGAAAGCGAGCTTTTTCCTAATATTTGTAGTGACTCTCAAAGCAGCTTTTCTCAACATTATTTTAGCATTTTTTTACATAGCATCCTTCCAATATTGATGTTTGCTGTTGTAATACAGAAGTTCCCAGGCATGAGAATTTCATGAACCCTGCCTTGGAATGGATGCACCAGCATTCCATTGTCCATGTGCTTCTCATGTGTGGCCAGCTCAGGGCCTGCGACCATGACTTTGGGACCTGCAGTTCCTCGGGCAGTGGTGGAGTTGATGGTTGCTCCTGTGCTCTTTCCCCAGAGGCCCTCACCTTCAGCTGCTTCACGGAGCTTATGAAGAGAATGAACCAGAACTTCCCCCATGGAGGCGCGATGGACACACACTTTGCCAACATGAGGTCACTAATCCAGGTGTGACTCAGTCCTATTCAATAATATAACTTATTCCAACTCAACCCAATGGGCCTCAGGTCAACTTAATAGCCACTCCTAGTTTAACTCAACTTAGTAGCTCAGCCCAGCTGAGTTGAACTCAAAAACTCAAGTCTGCCCAGCCAGCGTGGCTCAGTGGTTGAACATTGACTTGTGAACCAGGAGGTCAGGGTTTGATTCCTGGTCAGGGCACATGCTCAGGTTGCGGGCTCGATCCCCAGTGTGGGATGTACAGGGGACAGCTGATCAATGATTCTCTCTCATCATTGATGTTTCTATCTCTCCCTTCCTCTCCCTTCTTCTCTGAAATCAATAAAAATATATATTTTTAAAAAACTCAAGTCCACTTAATCTCTGAATTGAACTAAAAAATTTAGTTCAGCTCTACCTTAAGTCAACAACTCAAATCAATTCTACCAGATTCATTTTCACTGAGCATTTACTCAGTCCAGGCACTATGACCATACAATGACCAAGACACGGCCCCAGCCCTAAGAGGATGTTTGGTTGTATTGGTCTTTTTCCTCAAAGTAATGTTTGGGTATATTATACACACACACACACCTTTATTGAGATGTAATTCACATATAAAATGTACCCTTTTTAAATGTACAATTCAGTGGGTTTTAGAATATTCACAGTTGTGAAGCCAACATCACAGTCTAATTTCTGAACATTTTCATCCTCCCAAAAAGAAACTCCATACCCAGTAACATTAGTTCCTCTCCCCAGCCCCTGGCAACCGCAAGCCTACTTTCTGTCTTACACATTTACCTTTTCTGGACATTTCATATAAATGGCATTATACAATATGTTGCTTTTGGGTCAGGCTTCTTTCACTTAGCACAGTGTTTTCATGGTTCATCCAGGTTGTAGCATGTAGTATTTGTTTTTATTGCCAGATAATCTTCCATTGAGTGAATATACCATTTTTTTTATCCATTCATCTGTTGATGGACATTTGGGTGGTTTCCACTTTTTGACTATTATGAATAATGTTGTACATTCATGTACACGTTTTTATGTGGACATATGTTTTCATTTCTCTTGGGGATATAAATCAATATGCAGCCATACCATTTTACATTCCTACCAGCAACATATGAGGCTTCCAGTTTCTCTCCATCCTTGTCAACACTTTGCTGCCTGTCATTTTTATTATAGTCTTCCTAGAGGTGTCAAATAGTATCTCATTATGGTTTTATTTGTATTTACCTAATAACTCATGACATGGAGAATTACTCATGTGCTTATTGGCCATTTGCATATCTCTTTCGGAGAAATGACTGGGTTAGGTTGAGCGAGGCTGATTTCTACTTCAAATCCTTTGCCCATTTTTTACTGCACCTGGTTATTAAGGGCTGTATGGTGTCCAGTATGGGGATGGACCATCATTTATCCAGCTGTCCCCTCTGGTCTGGCCTTTCCTCAGGAGGCTGATGCCCACCTTTCCTTCCTCTGACAGATCCTGGACTCAGAGCTCTTTGAGCTGATGCATCAGAATGGAGACTACACTCACTTCTACTTCTGCTACCGCTGGTTCCTGCTGGATTTCAAACGAGGTACAAACTTCAAACTGGGGCCTGGTTCCCAGTCTCTTTGTAGCAGAACCTCAGGGAAAAGATACTGCAGAGCAAAAGCTAGTGTAAGAGAGCAGCACCTACTTATTGAATTCTCATTATCAGTTCGCCTACCTTATCTTGCAGTGACACCATGCAGTAGTAGTACTGCAGTCCCCATTGTACAGATGAGGAAACTGAGACTGAGAACATTTGAACTCCGAGCTGGGAGGAATAGAGCCATTTCCCTTCCATTCTATGATGCTGCTTATCAGAGACCAAGAACTCTTTGGAGCATGTTTCACATGGGACTTAGATATTATGGAGAACACAGTACACTGCTATTGCGCTAATTTGGGATGATACTAAGAATAACATCTAACACATACGGAGGTGTTCGTTAAGTGCCAGGCACTGTGCTGAGCCATTTCTATGTATTATCTTGTTAGTCTTTTCCTACCATCACCATCACCCCACTTAGAGATGAGGAAAGAGAGTATCTAGCCCAAGGTCACCTTGATGGAGCTAGAATTCAGACTGAGTTTATTGGGCAGAGAAAGTCTTGCTCTCTTCTCTTTCTTTTTAAATGACATTTATTGGGGTTACATAGTAACATTATATAAATTTTAGGTATACAAAGCCTTGCTCTTAACCATTGCTCTATTCTAGCTCTTCACTAGACCCAGATGCAGCAGCCAATTCTGTGTACAGGGGAGAGGGGAGATACACCCCCCATGGGTGCTAAAAGAGATGGGAGGGTACAGGAAGAAAGGGGGAGACTGGTCAAGGGGTAGAACCAGGATAGGTTAGTGTCAGTCAAACTGCTTAATTCCTCCACTTGCAGAATGTCAGAGTTGGAAACTTACAACCCACCTTATTTGTTAGCCCATTCTACAGATGGGGAAAACTGAGGCTTTTGATGGTCAAATGGCAGAGTCCAGGTCTCCTAGCTCCTGGCTTGAGCTCTGTCTGCTGCACCAGGACAGAAGCTCAGAGCACAGCTGGCCTGGGATTTTTCCAGCACCATGAGCCCTGTGGCTGACTCTCTCCCCATGTGTGTGTGCGTTGGTGTCTGTCTCGGCAGAACTCGTCTATGATGATGTCTTCTCTGTCTGGGAGACCATTTGGGCAGCCAAACACGTCTCATCCACCCACTACGTCCTATTCATCGCGTTGGCTCTGGTGGAGGTCTACCGTGACATCATCTTAGAGAACAACATGGATTTCACAGACATCATCAAGTTCTTTAATGGTACCCACACGACCGGGGTCTCGTCTGAGGGGTGCAGGCTTCTAGAGGGCCCCTTCCTGGGTCCTTGGGAGGGATGGAAATTTACTGAGATTGACACACAGGAGGGGCTGGAGGGGGTTCTGCCCACTTCTTGTGTCTCTTCCCAATGGATGAGTCGACCTCCTGTAATGCTGAGGATATGTCTTCCCCTGGGATCTGGCAGAAGGAGCAGGGGTGTTGAAATCGAGCTCGGGGCAAACCCTGGCTCTGCCACTAGCCAGCTGCGCCCATGGACAAGTCACTTCCCTCTCTAAACATCTGCTTTCTCATCTGTGAAATGGGGTAGCAGTGTCTGCTTCAGAGGGTTGGTGTGTGTAGGAAAAGCAAGCAAAGGAAGGCAGTTGACGTGAATAAAAAGGGTATAGCCTTGGAAATCAGAACAGATGTGGATTCTGATCCCAGCTCTGCCACTCAGGAGTTGGGGGACCTTAGGCAAATGGCTTCTTGTCTCTGGGCTTCAGATCCTGGAGGATGAAAATGGTGCTAGACCTCAATCACAAAGATGTCAGGAGAGTTAAATGAGACATGAATAAAGCCCATCGCATGATAGCTAATCCATATGAGGGGCCCATAGCAGGAAGCTGTTGTTACTGTTTTTACTACTTATAACATTTTTTTTAACCAAAGAAGGTTTCGGAAAAAGCAAAAGGAGAAAAAAAGCCATCTGTGACCTTCCCCTGGAAACATCATTATTTTATTTTAGAATAATTGTAGATTTACAGAAAAGTTACAAAGAGAGTACCAAGTGTTCCTGATGCCCCTTACCCAGCTACCCCTAGTGCTAATAAGTACAGTTACTGATGGGGGGTGTGCACCCGCTGGGCTTGGCCCGCCTTCTCAAGCCTTGGAATTTGGTTGACACCACCACCTTCACTCCCTGTGCCATGTGATTTTCATCCGCTTTCTGAAAACCTAGCTGTGCAAAGCTATAAAATCATGGACAGGAATACAATATAGTTAGTGAACTCACTCACTCTCGTGTTCAATAGATGTGGCCTATTGCGGCGTTTCCCTCTAAATTTTTCTGGGTTCACAGTGGTGCTCTCAGGTACCTCGGCACCCAGTTCGGGAACCAGGGTCTTACTACCTTTTTCCTCTGCTAAATGACTTCCTTATGATATATGTCCAAGTTTATGATTATTCTGCCTTAAAGATTTCACCATTTTGTGTGGCTCTTGATAACCTTATTTATTTTTTTATTTTGCTTTCCATCTTTCCCTCCCCCTTCTTTTGCTTCCTTCCCCTGACACTTCTTTTGCTTCCTTCCCCTGACACTTCTAAGCATCTACTGTGTGCCCAGCATTGCTTTCTTAAAGTTCCCAGGGGATGGGAAGACCTAACATTTTTAAGCGTGCACTGAACCAACGTCATCTCATTTGATCTCACAGTAACCTAGTGAAGCAGGTACTGTTACAATCCCCATTTTACAGACGAGGAAACTGAGGTCCAGAGGTGCCTCAGGACTTCCCCACGGTCTCTGCTTCCTGATCCCTCTGGGGCTGAAGTCAGAGGACAATGATGGGAACACCCCAGAGACCCTTCCAGGTGCTGGAAGTGTGTCCCGAGGATGGAAACAGAGGGAGGCTCACGAGCTGTCCCCTTCTGCTCTTTCAGAAATGGCCGAGCGACACAACACCAAGCAGATCCTGAAGCTGGCCCGGGACCTCGTGTACAAGGTGCAGACTCTGATTGAGAACAAGTGAGGGCCGCCTCACTCAGGCAGCGCCAGCCAAGCTGCCACCTGCCTGTCGTGCCCACTTTTCCTCCCAGCCACCTGGGGAGCGAGGTCCTGGTGTCTGTCTGTGAGCATGGACTTCTGTGCAAAGAGAAACTGGCCCGACTTTGGCCGTCGGGCAGGTGGGGTCGAGGGCTTGCCCCTTGAGTTCAGCCTTACGTTTTCCTGTTTGACCAAAGATCGCCCGTGTCTGGGATTTCTCCTTGCGGGAACTGTCGGTGGATGGAGGGAACGTCTTTGTTCAAGGCCTCCAGACGTCTTCTCTGTTCTTCTCTCCCCATCCCTCCAGACTGTCTTGTCAGATGAGACTTGGATGGGATTGTTTTGGACGTTGGTGTAGGAGTCTGTGGGGTGCCCTCTGTACTCTGGAAGGGGCCTTTGCAGATGTTCCAGAACAGCCTGGAAGACCGGCTGGCCGCAAGGTTTTTGCACTTAGCACTGTTGACATTTGGACTGGGTCATCCTTTTGGGGCGGGGGGGCGGGAGGGTGTTCTGCACATTATAGGATGTTGAGCAGCATCCCTGGCCTCTACCCACCAGATGCTAGTAGTACCCTCCTCCCCACCCCATTGTGACAACCCAGAATGTCCCCAGATATTGCCAAATGTCCCCACGGCTTAGAGGAGGGGCTACCAGTGAATCTCCCAACCGGTTCTCTTTCTACCTAAGCTGCCTGTGTCCTGAGGCCCCCTCCCATTTAGGAAAGGCACGCAGGAGGCCTCACACGTCTCCCCTTGAGGGGTGAGATTCCGTTTGCTGTGTTCTCTCATTTTTCTCCTCCACCTGACTCTGGGAGAGACTTCTTTTCAAGAAGGGAGTCTCCCTGCGGGGCAGTGGGATCCCAGAAGTGTCTGCAGGTGGGAGACAGTCCGGGGCTCTTCTGGGTTTCACCCAGAGCGCCCTGTGGTCCCCCCAGGAAAGACTGCCTCTCCTTCCACACGTGGGGTCTGGTGCTCCAGGAGCTCGGAATGTGTGTGTTGGTGCAGCTGTTCCCCAAGTGCCCTTGCTCACTCAGGACGAAGGAAGAGGAAGACGGAGGGAAGCCAGGGTGATGTGTGTGTTTTCCACGGTGGCTCCGTCAGGAAATGGTCCCCGCCACGTCTTCTCTCAAAGGGTCACCAGTCCACAAACAGATCCTGAGTTCGGTGGCTCAGCTGCCCACCCGTCCTCCAGGAAAGTGGTCCTGCCCACTCCGTTCTGATAATGCACCAGAATCGGGGGCAGCAGAGCCGGGGAACTGCTCTTCCCAGGAATGGCAGGTCGGGTTTTGGAGATGGCAGGAGACACGTAACACACTGAAGCATTGACACGGGGTGCTTACTCCTCCCACCCTGAGCAAATCAGGACCGGAGAAGCCCCTGCCCTGCGTGCTGGGGAAGCTCTTCCCTCGGTCACAGCGCCTCCAACTGCATCTGAGTCCCCACCTTCCCCTAGTGGGGCGTCCTGGGAGGGACAGACAAGGCCCAGAGGGCCCTTGCTTCCGAAGAGCGATCATCCTCTCACCCTGGTCCCCCAATTTCCTTGGATGGGAAAACTGTGTGAAAGTCCCCTTCCGAGAAAAGTGCATTCTGCCACATAGCTGCTCATAGCAGGGGATGTTTCGTTAGCACAACCCAGGGCCTAGACCCTCTGGTTCTTTCTTATTTTTTGACAGAGTAGTCACACAGCACAGCACAAGATTTCCTCTCTGCCTTCTCTCATGGTGTCCTGGGACACGTCGTGGTTGTGGCTTGGACTAACTGCTCTCTGTTCAGCTCTCTGCTTCTTCAGGTGTCCGTGAGCCGCGTCGTCGTCGTGTCCTAGAGTTGAGTGTGTGGGAGTCGTTCTGTCTGCTGCGTGCCCTCCTTTCTCAGTGTTACCAGCACATCTTGTAACTGTTTACTGAAGAGTTGTGTCTATATAGAGAGAAAACATATATAAACCAAGAGGTGTGTGAATCTGAGTTGATTTTGTTTCTGTGTTTGGGGGAATTTTTTTTTTTTAATTTGAAGGAAATGTTTGTTTCTGAAGACTCCGTCCTTCCGCCGCAGTGGCTCACATCCCCGGTGGACACACAAGTTCAAGGCGGGTGAATCACTTCGCATCCTTGTCTCTTAGCTGTTCCCACAAGTAATGCTGCAGAACAGACCACCCCAAGACTAGTGGTTTAAAGTAGACATTTATTTAGCTGGTGACTCTGTCAGCAATGTGGGCTGTGTTCAGCTGGGAGGTTCTTCTGGTCTCAGATGGACTTCATGTGTCTGTGATCAGCTGGGCAGCTGGGCTGGCTGTTGGCCAGGACAGTGGGGCAGCGGGGCCCTGTGTCTCAGGTCCTCCAGCTGGCTCGCTCAGGCTTGTTTACATGGCCATGACGGCATTTCCAAGACGGTGAGCAGAAGTGTGCAAGGCTCAAGATGGGCATCAGGTCATTTCTACCATATTCTCTTGGTCAGAGTAAGTCACATGGCTGAGCTCAGACTCAGAGAATGGGGAAGTAGACTCCACCACTCCATGGGAGGCTTTGGAAAGTGACATTGAAAAGGGGTGTGAGCCTGACTGGCACGGCTCAGTGGTTGAGCATCAACCTATGAACCAGGAGGTCATGGTCAGGGCACATGCCCAGGTTGCGGGCTCAATCCCCAGTTTGGGGCATGCAGGAGGCAGCTGATAAGTGATTCTCTCATCATCGATGCTTCTAGCTCTCCCTCTCCCTTCCTCTCTGAAATCAATAAATATATATTTAAAAAAGGGCTGTGGATACAGGTGGGGAAATCATTGAGGCCATTTTGCAAACAGTGTACCATGTACCCCAAGGTCCATGCACAAGAGTCGTCCCCAGGTGGGGATGATTTCTTGGTTATGACCCCAGTTTCCCCGAGTTCCCATCATAACAACCGGATAAGGTCGGCAATATTTCACACACCTCCATTTTACAGAAAAATACAGTGAGGTCCAGAGAGGTGAAGTGGCTTGCCTGAGGTCATAAGGAAGCAGTAGAGGTGGCATTTGAACCTAGGTACGTGGTGATTTCGTATAGCTGTAAAATGGGCTCTTTTCACTCCTGAGAAAATGTTATTTCCTCCCTTCTGGCATAAGGATGATTTTCCCAGTGTCGCTGGAGAAGCGGATGGTCCTCCCCTGTACTTTGGTCGTGCGGGGCCACCTGATGACGGCCAGGATGCTGGCCAGGACTGCATTGAGGATGGCAGTCACATAGCCCCAGCCCAGCTGGCACTGTCCACTGCGGTACACAGAGGAGGCTCCACAGGCCTCCTTGGCAAATGGGGAGGCCAGGCCGATAGGGAAAGCCAGCAGGCCCAAAACAGTGGTGGTGGCTGGAGACAGCAAAGAAGAAAGCCAGTGTGTCAGGGCCTCTGGGCTAACCTTTCCTGACTCCCTCACTAATCCACCCTCCTGTCCACTCGTCCGTCCATCCATCCATCCACCCATTCATCCATTCATTCACTAATTTATCAGCCTGTCTAGCCCTAAAATTTTTTATTAAAGTATAGTTGGCATTCAATATAATATTAGTTTCAGTTGTACAACTGAAACAGAGTGATTTGACATTTATATACCTTACGATGTGATCACCACAATAAGTCTAGTAACGGTCTGTCACCATGCAAAGTTAATATCATAATAGCACATCTTTCCTTTTATCCACCCATCACTCAACTATCCTTGTGCCCATTTGTCCATCTACTCAGCCATCCATTCAACCATATTCTCATTCATTCTCTCCATCCCTCTATCTGCCTATCCATTCACTCATCCAAACATCTATCCACCTGCCCCCCGCATCCGTCCATCCATCCATCTATCCATCCATCCATCCATCCATCTCCACCTTCCATTCATATTCCAATCTACCCATTCATCCTTATCCATTCATCTACTAAGACATCCATTGTCCACTTATCAATTCATCCATCCACTTACCCTCCCACCCATTCATTCATTCATTCATTCACCAGTCCACCCATTCATTCACCACAATTGTTAGAGGTGCTGTTGTGGGCACTGATGATGCTAAGGAAATGGGCCAGACACCTCCTCACGTTGGGCACTCCCAGTGCGGGAGAATCAGGTGAACCCTCAGCCTCGCTTGCTGCTCCTCAGCCACACCAGTCTCCTTGCAGTTCCCTGCACACCCCTGCTCTCTTGTCTCCGTGCCTTTGTCCCTGATGTTCCATTACATGAAATGCCTTTCTACATTTGACCAACTCCCACTTGTCCTTCCAGACTCAGCTCAGGTGATGCCTCCTCCAGGACACCTTCTTTAACATCCTTCACCGTCCTGGAATTTTTCTTTGCACCCTGTGCTTACCCCCGTTGTGCCAAATATCTATTAGTTGTACATGCCTGATGTACCCCATCCTCACCAGCCACTGTGCAAGCCTGGGACAAGGACTGTATCTCCAACCATTGAGCATCTGTTATGTGCAAAGCACCGTGGTAGATGCTGGTGATATTAAGATAGACATATCCTCACCCTAATGGGACTGATGTTCCAGTGGAGAGAACTGGACGGTAATCAGGAAAGCAGATAAGAGATTTCAGGTAGTAAGTGCTGTGCAAAATACAAAGCAAGACAAGCAGGAGAATCTAAGGAGAGGGGAGCTCCTACCTGGAGGCCATGGAGGACCTCGCTGAGACAGAGCCCTTAATGAAGTAGGGAAGCAAGATAAGTGAAGATGTGAGAACAGGAGTCCACGCAGCGGGAACAGGCTGGGTGTATATGAGCAACAGAAGGCAGGCCGGGGTGGCTGGAGCACGTGGAGCCTGGCAGAGGGGGCCAGAGGTGAGGTTGGTAAGAGAATGGGGGGTTGATCAGGTGGAGCCTCATAGGCCACCATAAGGAGTTTGGATTTTACTCCGTGAGACAGGAAGTCAATGAAGGGTGGATGAGCCTGTCTGGTGGCAGGATCTGATGTCAGTTTTAACAGGACCCATTTGGCCAGTGTGTGGCAAACCTTCTAAGGTGGCAGGCAGCAGAGGGGTCCATGAGGTGGTTATTGTTCTACTGCAGATGAAAGATGGTGGAGAATTAATTGGGTATGATTACCATCAAGGCCTGGGCTAGCGCATTACAGAGACTAAGTGTGAGTCAGGGAAAAGCAACTGTTCAGGGCAGATGCAACCCTGCAGTCTCGCAGCTTAGCAAGTGGAGCGTAGGCTAGATTTCAGCGTCTGTCAGCCCTCCGCTGGCACCCTGTGCAGTACCCGTGCTGCCCAGCTGTGTGTGGTGGTCCAGGTAGAGATGATGCAAAGTGAATGGATAAGAGAGAAATAAAGGGGGACCGACCATTAGGACTGAGATTAGCTCAGGGCAGGAGAGGGTGCTGTTAAGGATAGCATCCCCTCCGCCCCCGCCCCTGACCATTTCTGGCTTGCTAAAGGACCAGGAAGAATCTACTCTCACTCCTAGGGCTTATCTCTGAGATTTGACCCAGGAGGGCAGACTGCTGACAGGTTTTTCCCTTTCATTCATCATTCATTCCACAACATGTCTGGGCTGCTTACTATGTGACAGTGGGTTTACCTGCAGCTGCCTGCACCCCCCGCATTTTGCCACTGCCCCTCCTTGGGCACAGCTCTTTGGGGGCCAGGACCCAGGACAGGAGGAGAATTGCATGGAAGGCCACCAGGAGCCAGCCTCCCAGGAGAAGCGCAGCTGAGACCTGCCAGGAGGAGAGAGGAGGGGGCAGGGTGTTGACTGGGTGGGGGCAGGAGGATGTTCCCCTGCATATTGACCTGCTACTGAGTCCTGGAAACCCCAAGAGGTCTGTGCTCTTATCCCCATTTTACACGTCAGCAAACTGAGGGCCAAGGAGGTAGGGTCATTGGCCAATGGGCACACGGCTAATTAAGTAGTAGAGCCAGGATTAAGATCTGGGTGTACAACCACCACACCCGACCTATACTGACTACCTGCTATACGGCGGATCACCTTTGTCGTTACCGGTTTTGAAGGCTGTATAATTTTCCTTACAGGTACTGGACTGGGAGTCCTGGCCCACTGCCCCCATTGTTGAATTTGGTTATGTGCCTCATACCTGAGACTTCCAACACCTTGGCTGTGGTTTTCCAACCCAGCAGTGCGTAGAGGGTGGCCAGGTAGGCGTGTGCAGGTTGTACAAGGCACAACTCAGACGCACGGGGATCATAGATTTGCATATTGATTACAGTAATTCTCCAGCAGATGGCAGTTTAGTGTCCTAAAGAAGGGGCCCCTTGTCTTAATTTGTACAAAGGTGCTATATGGGCTGACAGCTGCTTTTAGAATCATCCTGGGTGTTTGCTAAAATGCAAATAGCCAGACCCAGCCCTCCCCCCACCCCGGCCACCCCCACCCCCCGAGTCAGAGGCTCAGGTCAGGGCTGGTGGTGGTGGTGCAGCTTTGTTTCGCGCCCGTGGGTTTGACAGTCCCCCTTCCCTCATACCCCAGGTCCCAGGTCCCAGTGAATTGATGAGCAGAGGACTCACCTTCCAGGCAAAGTCCGGAATGTCATCCAGGGACCTGAAGATCCCACAGCTCTGGTTCCAGCTGTCACCCTGAGGCCAGGAGCAGTAGGAGAGGACGCCAAAGGAGAAGGTGGGCGTCTGGAACCAGGCAGGGGAGAGGAGGCTGAGGGCCGAGATGCAGGTCAGGGAGAGTCCCAGAGCAACCCACACGCTGCCCACCATCGTGGCGTGTCAGTGACCTGGGGGTCAACGAGCAAGATTAGTGTGGAGACTGTGGGGCAAGGAGAGGAACGGGGCTTTTAAAGGTGCCCCCCCCACCCCACCCCCCCCAAGCTAGGGATGTGGTTCTATGTTCATACCCCAGGTCATCCGACTCCGTTCGACCTCACGATGCAATGGGAGATGCTAACAACTGGTGTGGAGAAGTGGTTTGTCCCAACAAGTCCTGGAAGCAGGGACCCCAAATCTCCAAATAAATGTTAGTGCTTAGACCTTTGAATAATCCCACCCTGCACTGCATGTCATCATCACTGCTCCATGTAAGGCCCCCTCAGTTCCATTCATTCATTCTTTCATTCGTTCATTCATTCATTCTCTCTGCCCATCAAGCCTTGCACTGTCCAAAAGGACTGTTTCTATCTGCCCAGAGGAGTCACCTTTTCTAAGTCACACAAACATGCTGTGTTTCTAGCAACACCCTGCCCATTAACCCCTGCCAATCAGTGACCGCTTTAATTATCTAATGTATATCTTTTTGTTCAGAGGTATTTTTGCAGGTATCTTTCATTTAAGTAAGTGGCATTATTTTAGAAAACCACATGGAGACCCAGAGAGGTTATGTGACTTGCCCAAGATCCCCTGACACATCAGGGGAGAACTGGAAATAGAAGCCAGTACTCCTGCCCCTGATTTATAGAAACACCCCTTCTTCCCCCAGCCATATCCCTACCACTCCTCTTCCCCAAGTTTGTGTCCCCATGGCTAGATCCGAGAGAGAAGAGGAGCGGAAGGTGGGGAAGGAAGGGAAGGACTCCAGCGATGGATGGAGAACTGAGGGTGAACCATGAGGACAGGGAGAGTGCGATTGTGGAGTGCAAACTGCTCCAAAGGGAAGGCGAGACCCCACTTCAACCACTAACCAGCAAGCACCCCTTAGAGTCCCCTCCACCCCTCCCTGAAGGGGTGAGCATGACACCCTTCCCTCCCCACCCTCCTCCCAGCCCCCTCCAACACACATCAACAAATACAGAGAGTTTGTGACAACCTCGAGCTGCAAGGGCCTCTATAGTACCTGCTGTAGAGTTTTCCAAATGAGGAATGTGGATGCCACGGTGCCTCCGGTGGTCCTTGGGGGACATATTCAGATGGCACCTGGACCTTCAGAGTCACTCAGTCATAGAATGCCGGAATTGCTTAGTTCTCGGCTCTCCTTCCATCCCTCTCTACATCTAAGACTAAGTCTCTGTGGAAGCTGTTGGGTCTTAAACTCCTCTCAGGCATTGATTTGTCACCCTCTCTCTTTCACAACGACAGGGAGCCCCGAGCAGGCGGCAGAGTCAAGCGGGGATGTGGGGATGCAGCTGGATTTTCCTTGTATTTGTAGTGATGGCTTTGTTTTTGTTTTTGGCACAAAAGTGATTGCCCATTTACAATTGGAATTTATTTAAATGAAAAAGTGAGTCAACATAACGTCTCACCTACACAATAATAGAGGAAGAAGGAAGGTGGTATGCCCACGCTGTCATTGATGGCCAGAACTGAGCCCAGAGGGTTGAGCCTACCCAAGGGCGCTCAAGGTCAAAAGCAGCTGAGCTGTCAGCCAAGCCAAGGGCATCTACGCAGACTTCCCAGGGCCCGTCCTTTTCAACCTTAGTTTCACTTTAGGCACTAAAGCCTGGCCAGCACTTTACACATGGCAGGAACCCTGGGCTTGGATGCCGGCCAGTCACTCTGCCGTTTCCCAGCTGTGTGACTGGGGCAAGTGGCCCCATTTCTCTGGGCCTCAGTTTCTCCATCTGTGAGAGCAGATTAGAAACCCCAAGGGGCAGGTGGCATTGGGTTCCGTCACTGAGCAGGTGATGTTGTAGACAGACCACATCCTCCCCTGTCCAGTGCTGTGACCTTGGGGATGTCCCCTCACCTCTCTGGAAAATGGGGGTGGGGTTGCTGTGAAGGTCAAAAGGGATAAAATCACGTGTGTGTTGCAGGGGGAAGGAGAGAGAAGCCTGGTCAGGTAGGTAGGCCGAGGTTATGTTGCCTAGACTTTTTATTCCCAGGATTAGAATAACCTCATGGCTGCTCTCCAGCAAGTGAGAGGTGGCCCTTTGAATGAGGGAAGATGGATTTTTTTTTTCCCTCCTCCACCAAAACCGGACTCTCCCTGGGGTTTGGCAGGATCCCAAGGGGTGTAATTCCAGCCAGGAAGCCGGGGAGCCCAGGCGGACCGAGGCCCGTGATTTCGCCTCTTTGGCCGTCCCGGTGGCTCTCCGGGCGTTTCTGACCTTGAAAGGAGTTTTGTTCTCCAGATAATGTGCTCAATGTCACCTGGGAAAATCACGCTGACTGTCCAGGTGCCCAGAAAGCTAAATGAGGCATTATAACCCACAACCACATCCGGCCAGGCTCCCCTGAGCTGGGCTCCAGCTGAGGGATGCTTGCAAGGGCCTGGGCAATTTCTCCTCCTGCTCAGCAGTAACTGTCAGTGGCGGTCAGCGCTTCTGGAGCACCCACCAGCCCCGTGCTACACACGTGGAGCATCTTGTTTCATTTAAGCCGCACGGCTGCTGGGTGCTAAGTCCTGTTGTCTTGGTTCCCATTTTACAGATGACAAAATGAAGGCTGATTTTACACCCGCCAGAGTGGCGGACCAGGGACTTTCACCCCGGGAATCGGGCACCTGACTCTGGGCCCTAAGCCCAAAGCGATATTAAAGGGTTAGATTAAAAGCCAAATACCCCAGTGGTTTCCTGGGGCTGCCCGGGCAGTTGCCCCTCCCACTGCTGCGGCCAGGGAGCATGGACAGTCCCTGGGGAGCCCTCGTCGGCCAGCGCGGGAGAGCTGGGATTTGGGAGTCCAGAGGTGGCTGCTAGTGCCTTGTTATGTCCCCAGGCCAAGTCCCTCTCTTATCCTGGCTTCCATATCCCCATTGGTCAGCTGAAGGGGCTTATCATTTATTCAGTGTACACGTGCCCAGCTCTGTGTGACCCTCGCAGATACAGTGTGAACAGAACATAAGTCCCTGCCCTCCAGGAGCTTAGGGCTTTGTGGGCTAGACAAATAAACAGGGTAGAACAAATACGGCGCATCTGTCCTTCCATCCACCCATCCACCCCACCCTCCCACCCATCCACCCAGGAACTATTCTAGGTGCTGGGGATTTAGCAAAATTACTGTCCTCACGGAGCTCGCACTTTTGGGAGGAAGACAGTAAGAAACAAACAAGTCAACAAATAAGGTGGCAGATGTTAATAAGTGCCAGAGAAAAATGAAGCAGAGAGAGGGATGTTGAGCGATGGGGGATGGTCATGGAAGCCTCAAAGAAGGTGACCTTCGAGCAAGAGCTGAGGGAGGCAGCCATGTGGGCGTGTGGGGGAGGAATATTCCAGGCAGAGGAAGGAGCAGTGCAAAGGCCCTGAGGTGAGCGAGTGCTTGGCATGTTTGAGGAAGCAAAGGCCCGGGTGACTGGGAGGAAAGAGGAAGGGGGTGAGTGGTGGGCCGCGTTGGCAATGGAGATCGTTGGCTTGGACTTCTGAGTGAGCTGGGGAGTCTGCCGATGGTCTTGAGCCGAGGAGTGACATGACCTGTCTTGTGTTTTAAGGTCGCTCTTGCTGCTGGATGAAGAGTAGGTGGAAGGGAGGACAAGGGAGAAGCAGTCAGGAGGCAGCTTCAGACAGTCAGGTGAGGGACACCGCTGGGTGGGATGGAGGGACAGGGAGGACGGGGCAAGGAGCGGATGGATGGAGTCTAGATCTTTGTTGAAGGTCAAGGGTCAAGCCAGCCGGAATTGCTGATGGAGTGACCACGATGCCCCCAGGGCTTTTGACCTTGGCACCTGGGACAGGGGCACTGCCATCACTGAGATGGGGGAGGCAGGGTTGCTAGGAGAGGGACGGGTTTCTGAGTGTGATGTAGCCTAAGTGAAGTTTGAGGTGTGCATTTCACCAGCCCTTTGACTAACAGAAGCAAAAGGCATGCCCCACACCGAGAGAAAGTGCAGGGCCATGTTGGGGGCAGCATGGAGCGGGAGCACATGATGTCCAGGCTGAGATCTGAAGATGGGCAAGTCGGACCGGGGAGGACTTTAACCTGCACCCTTTGTCTCCTCCCAGTGGCACAGCCGGGTAAGCTGGATTTCTGGTTCTGTTCCAGGCTCTGGTACAAGTTGGCTGTGTGAGCTGGGTCTCATGCAGTGTAATGGCTCAGAGCCTCAGTTTCCCCATTGCAATGCAGTGAGTCTTTGTGTGCCCCCCCCCCCACCCAATTCATATGTTGAAATTCTAACCCCCAAGGTGATGGCCGTAGGAGGTGGGCCTTTGGGAGGTGATGAGACCATGAGGGTGGTGCACTCCTGTGGGATTAGTATCTTATAAAAAAGACCTCAGAGAGCTCCCTTGCCCCTTCCTCCTTGTGAGGCCATTAGGAACCAGGAAGTAGGCTCTTACCAGACACCAAGTCTGCCTACGTCTCATCTTGGACTTGCTTCCCAGCCTCCAGAACTATGACAAATAGATTCCTGTTGTTTACAAGCCGTCCTGTCTGTGGTACTTTGTTACCAGCAGCCTGAACAGACTAAGACACCCACCTCCGAAAGGATGGCCAAGTCCTGCACCAGCAACCTAACCTTTCAGATGTGATGGATTTCTTTGAAAATATGATTTAAAACTATGGATGCATTCCCCATGCAGGCTTGTGTACACACACACATACACACACACACACACACACACACACACACCACATCACATAACACACACACCACATCACACACACAATAGTGTATGTAATTTCCAGGGCTCACGGACCCGAAGCGCATTATGGCCCCTGGGAAATACTCCCCTCTCTCCTCCCCCCTGACCTCAGAACACTCTTGCTTCCAGACTCACCGCGCTTCAGGTCAAGCCCCTCTACCGTGGCCTCTTCTGCTCGGACTCCAGTGTTAGACTAAGTCTGTGACCTCGTAAGATGTCTCCTTGCCTTTGAGGGAAACACTCAGGTTGGCGAAC